GTCATTCTATCATGTGATAATGTGTAATTGAAAAAAATAAATTGCAACGGAAAATAACTCGGTAGCCTGTAGGTATGAGAAATTAATTAACTCTTATTTCTTTATTTTTTCTTGAAGAAATCATATAATAAAGTCCCAATCAACTATAGAATCTGTTATTAAATATTAATATTAAACTTCTCGATCCGAATCGTATACAATTCGAAGATTATCAAACACTGCTCTTCTTATTTTATCATATAACTCCCATTGTATATAATGTATATATATATATATATTTTAATCATTTTATCTTTTTCTCAGACTTTTATTAGTTCATAATTATTATCGTTATTGTTTCTCTCCTTTTTTGTGGAATTTATTTTCAACCTACGTCCACGTTTATAATGCTTAATTAAATTATGTATTAATAGATTTGTTTTCACGTCAACGTGTTTGAATATCTGAACAATAATATTATGTTTGAATATTTTAATATTTTAAGCTTATTGTTATAGTTTATTTTTAAATATTGGTTTTGCGAATTACACTGGAAAGGTTTAAGACTCTGGGTTATTATAATTTAAACTCATAAAGTAATATTCGATATTTTATTTTTTGTTCATGATGAGGAAGGTAAAAATAATTAAGCAAAGTACACTTAAGTTATTTTAGGCACTAGGCTATAAATATTGTCAAGACCAATGCATTTTTAAACAAAAGGAATCGTTAAAATATTAAGGAAAAATAAATAATGTCAAGCTCAATTTTAATGATTTTAATGTTTAATTAAAAATTCAATACCTTAGGTTTGTTAAAAATAATAAACATTAACTTAGTTATTATTATGTAAAACAGATACATGGAACGACATGACCTACATTTGTAATTGTCTGCATTATTATATTTAACATTTGGTTTATGGTTATAGGTACTATTGTTAGGAGGTACTTTAATTATAAATTATAAATAAAAATAAGTGTTCCAGTTAGCCGGCGATTCGTTTAATATTTCTTTGAATTTTTTTGTTACAAGATACCAGATACTCAACATGAGTTATAACTTATAATATCAATTATAAGATAATATAATTTTAGAGCGATGAAATAAATAAGTTATTTATGCATTTTTAATTTTTTACTTTTTTTTACTGCACTTCACAATGTTAGATAAAAAAAATTTTCCACTGAGCGCATAACATTCTTTATACTACAGAAAATATTTCATTTTCAACTTGACTTGGGAATTATTATTATATTTTATAATGAATTTCAATAAAGTGAATTTAATAATAAATTAATTGCATAGTATGCATCTTAGCATTCTTAAAAAGGAATATAATAATAATTAATATCATATTATACCTACTTTAACAAAATATGTTTTTTTTTTAAACACGATCATGTTTATAAAAATTGAAAAGGTAATACTATACATTTTCTCAGTTTGTTTTCTTGCGATTGGAGGCTTTCTACATCAACCATAATATTTTTCAGTTAAATTAATTGGTTGCATAATCGTTGTTGGGGCAGTTTAATCGTAAGTGAGTGGATTTTATACAAGTGTCCGGTCCCACATAGCGTTTTCTCGGACATTTTTTATTCCTGTATCCCGGTCCCAATGAACTAACACTTACTAAGTAACAACGGTTTTATACGGCCATAGAAAACAGCTATATACAAAGGTTAAGCATTAACCTAACCTGACCTATCGTCATCGGTAATGTCTCCTACCTCTTCCCCAAACGTGTAATAACAGCTGACGGGCAACTTGAATGGCGCTCGCAGCGCAAATGCAGTAACCGTTACCGTAAAACTTGAACACAGCTTCTATAAACTTAAGTCGTCGAACTATCGTAATAAGTAATAGCGGTATTGCAGCTGGGCGTAAATATAATATGTGCACAGCGAGGTGGAGTTCGTTCATCGCGTCGATTTGAATAATTCGGTACTTTGCCTTCCAAGTGGCCGGGGGAGAGGGGGGGGGTGCAGGTTTATATACCATTCGATTTTTCGTAACCGCGTTTTTATGCAGCGGTTTATCCGATCCGACCACCCGGTCGAACGTCGTATTAGCGGCTATTTGTCAAAAGCGTCGTCGTAACAATAATATGTGGGTATAGTATACCAGCTATATCGTAAAATAATAATAATAATATAATGATAATGCCGACAACAACAATAATAATATGTGAAACGTGTTACGTATTGGCGCTCGCGACAATGGGTTCGTTTCCGGATGTGGAACACCTGTGCCCCGCAGACCGGAACGATCCATTCTGAATACACCACCGCAGCCTGTGCCACCGTGTGTGACATTCCAGTCGATAATGTTATGACTTTTCGATCAAAGCCAAAGTCCCGTCGTATTCATTACATTATGCGAGTTTCGGATTGTCCGATTCAATATCCCCCAGCAGCCACCCTTCAGGCGAGTATATTAATTAAGCCTCTAGGATTTTAAGTAATTGGTCGAGAGCGTGAAAGTTGCGCAAACGCAGGGGCTTCGCTCACTGCAGCACGGCATACATTGTAATATAGTATATTATATTGTATATTATATTATACATTTTTGTTTTGCTATATCAAACAAATAATAGTTCATTATTGTGATAGAAAAATGCGTTTGTATGTATAATAATATTATAATATACTCATTACTCATACATATAGACAAAATCTAAATTTTTTACTAGGTATGTCAAACAATATGTCAATAATGTGTTAAGTATTATAAAATATTGAAATAAGCTGTGACTTAACTATAATTTACATTAACTTATGACTGAGATTAATAAATAAATTAAGAAAAGTTAAGAAGAAGTTATTATGAATTGTTGTGATTATGCCAATCGTCAGTGTATTATCCGTAGAAACTAGAAACCATACTGAGTACAGTTAAATTAATTTATAGATTTATAAATCGAACTAATAGAGATTTTAAACGGGCAGGCTTGATTTCAAACTATATACTAATTGTACGAGTATAATTACTTCACAGTATTGAGTAGATGTTAGAACCTCAAAAATGTCAATAACAATGCAACATTCCCACATTATTTTAAATCACTAACGTTGATCTATGGCATCACAGCGGATTAACTGCAGTGGATCAGATGAACCAGAGATACTATTATCGCAACATCATTAAGTACGAGAAAAAAAGATCTTTGGAAAATAGATCCATTGATGGCCTCAAAAAAACAAATTATTATTTTTTTTTTTAAATTTAAAACGATATAGGCGTAGAACATTATAATTGTGCCTGAGTGAGAATTTTTTTTTTCACTGATTCACTGATCGATATTATCCTTTATCGCGATACCCTAGTAGTCGGGTGGGTCGGGCATGCTCGATGCAAATTTTTCCATTCCACCATACAATATAATATATATTATATTATGTTATATTATTATAAGTTCACGATAGCCCGTTCACTCTCGGCGGTGAAATTTCTTTGGTCTCACGATATTCCTTTGGTCCGATTTCTGCTCATGTCCAGCCACATTGATATTTTCACGGTTTTTTTAATCTCTTTTTTTGTTTTACTCTGCGCTGTCGTGAGCAAGCACCGGTTATAGCAGTATGGCGAAATTAGCCTTTTATACGTTACATAATATGTTATTAACGAGGTCAACCCTTGTTATTTCTTTTATAAAATAAAATACGATATTTAATTTTCATCGCGACATCACGTGCTATTGAAGGAGCTCCACGATACACCATGCAGTACGAGCAACCATCTTTGTATTTATTATTTGTTTTTAGTAACCTATACACGTCCAATACCTGCACCAGCTGACACACACACACACACACACACACACACACACACACACACACACACACACACACACACACACACACACACTCGTACACAATACCTATAACCAGGCTAATAATTTTAACTGTTTTCGTGGACTTTTATCGTATCATTATAATTTTTTTTGAGCTAGTTGCTAAGCTTGAGTCCAAATAAAGGCATCATATGACATGCAGCACAAGTATGAGGGTATTTCGCTTCCCAAGGGATTTTTGGAAGCTTGGAATCTACATCAAAAAAAATCCACACTAGCTATAGGTCAGGTTAGGTTACACAAAATAGTGTACATGGTTTTCATCAGTGCCAAGCAGTAGGTAATAGTATATAATATTAATTATAGTAATAATAGTTTCAGATAAGTAGTTCATATTGTAACCAACAAATTTAAACATTTAAAAACACGATTATTTATAGACATTTTAAGTTCACATTTGGACGGAATTAGATATTTAAACGAAGATTGAAGATTTTGGTTATTTTGTTATAATTTAAAAATATTATTCGTGAGTACTTGCAACTCTTAAAGTTTATCATTATATTTCATACACATAATGCAAGTTTCAAATGCAATTTGTTTGGCAAAAATTACTGGACCTACAAATGTAGTACCAAATCTCAACAGTAAAATAAATCAGATACTTTAATCATAATATACATACTATAGTAATATTATAGGCTGACAGACCGTCTTCGCTCATGATCGTTTTTCGTATACAATAAATACACGTTTACGTAAGCAATTGAATTACATTTAAAATTCATTTTTGTTTAACTTAAGAATCGGCTTCTTTATCCATAAGCGTTTTTGTAGGGCGGGTTACGGTTGGTTGAGCAACACATGTATGTGTGGCCAGAATTCGTCACCAAAATCCCAGGCTGGTCACCCATCCGGGAGTTAGTGACGCAAAACGATGCTTGACCTTTGCACACATAAGTAGTGACTGTGGCCAACCACCGCACCAGACCAGGCCAAGTTCAAATTTAACACGTCCATTAAAGTGACTTCTCTAGTCGCCTAATGTACAGCAGGCGTTAATACAGGACGTTAATCAATTGCCCGTTTTTTATTTTGTAACAAACATTATATTACATTGTGTATTTGTCACTGTATTAGCTATAACTTATTCAACATATATTTTCTTCCGAACTGGGAATAACGAAGGTACTAAGTATATTATAAAGTTTGTCTTTGGTGCAAGTCAGTCGGTCTTGCGGTTGTAACTGCAGATTAGAGATGAGAGCGAATTACTTATGGCCTTTGAGCAGCCAATTGCGACGGTGGGGTCGGTAGCCTTTGAACAGGAAAGGATGCTGGAGGTGAAAGCGGTGGCCCTTGAACGGCAAACACCAACGGAAGGGCTTTTGAACAAAACAGGATGCCGGAATTGGAGGCGGCGGCGGTGGCCCAATCGAACAAGGGCCACCGCCACCGCTTCCACTTCCGGCATCATGTTCTGTTCAAAAGTCAAGGGCCCCGTCGTCAGAATTTGCCATTCAAAGGCCACTGGTGGGTTGTAATATTTCAGTATCGGCCTCATTGGTCCTCATTCTCTCATCACCTATAAACATACGATTTTTTTTTTGTATATCTACGTTCCTATTATATATAGTACATAATATTATTGTATATAATAATATATTAGTAAAGTAACTGTAACGTATTTTATATTTTTTGTAAGCTTTGTACTATAATCCGTTAATAAAGAATAGTATGCTTTGCAGTTTATAAAGTTATATTACATTACCTTTAAATCCAATTGTCCTCGTTTTCTAAAAACTTTCCTACATATAAGTTTACTCCAGCAAATACAATTATTCAAAAAAAAAAAAAAAACTATAGTGTCACATATAATTACGTTTAGAATGTGTAAAATAACTATTTGATTTTTATCTAAATCATATAAGTAGGTATATGAAAGATCATAATCATATGCGTTGACACTTAGCGATGTGATTTGAATAGATAAATAATTCACAATTAAAAATGACAATTAATGTTTCTATAAACAATTGATAATAATAATATATTGTTTATTTATGTTACATAGTGATGTGTATCCGTCTATGGTATCATGTGTGTTGAATTTGAACCATATATTATAAAAATGTAAATTTATGATATATTAAAAATGTTAGGAATTTTAAACTCTTTTTTTTTTTCCAATTAAATGTATTTAAAAATATTTTGATGAAATTTGATATTTAAACGAAGATTAAAGATTTTGGTTATTTTGTTATAATTTAAAAATATTACTCGTGAGTACTTTAAACTTTCAAAGTTTATTTTTATATGGTAGACATATGATGACATTTTCAAATACAACTTTTTTGGCAAAAATGAATGTAACCTACTGTATTACTAATGATTAATGACTATACTATTAAAATTAATTACTTAAAATATTTATATTAACATCAAATATATGAAGTCATGTAGACCGATAGTCTTTGCTCAGAATCGTTTTTCGTATATAATGATTTCATTTCATTAAACTCAAATTCCACTGATTACACTGACCTCTTTTGTCCCTTTATATACACGAACCGTACAGCAGAGTGATGGGTCACACTTTGCATTATTGCATTTTGATATTCGTATTGAAATATTCGTTGCATAGGGGTTATTTTTTGTGGAACCTAGTCGCAATATTAATTTTCCTGAATTGACTTGTAAATTATTTGTTTGAAAGTTGTCGTTAAACATCAAACTGTTGTCTATCTCTCTAACATTAACTCGCAGTCTAGATTTTGCTGTCAAGTTTATTACAGTTACTTACGTATATTCGAATAAACGTGTTTTGTATTCGATGTCTACCAGTCGACAAAGGTAGTTTAAAAGTTTTGTACGTCTTAATTGGGCAATACACCTAAGCAACCGCTTTAATGATATTTTTGATAGAAGTAACTTTTAACTGATAACTGAACAAATTCCAACCATGATTATGTGGTTACTTTATTGAAAATGATAAACAATATTTTTGGTTCACTGCACCAATAACTGTATAATCGAATCACCATTGCCTGTCAATCGTATTCAGGTGTGAATTCTTTGTCAACAAATGTTTTCATAAAATCGCAAGTGTCCGGGATCATATTGCACTTTTAATTTATTATACTAATGATTGTGATTGTAATAATTACGAATCCCAATAGACCAAGTTGAATAATTAAATCAAGGTAACATGCTGACGACATTTTGCTATTAGTTTATTAATGATTACACAATTAATTATTCTATTATTATTTATACCATATGTACAGAAGGTCTATTTTAATTATTAATGTTGAGCCGGAGGAGGGCTATTATTATATAAAAACGACTTATTTATGATTATTATTTTGTATATCTTACTACCTACATAGTTTATTTAATAAAAACTGGTTTACCATTTAATTTATTCACATACTCAGAACACTGAACTAAATACATTGAATGCGTATTATGTATAATTCTCACATATGTAAAATATGCCTATATGCATTCCGATTTGATTTTTAACATAAATATTATGATAATGATAAAAATTTTCATGGAAAAAATAATTTTTCATCATGTTTTCCCATGACTCGGAATGCATATGGCGACATCCTATCAGGATGATATTGATTGGATAAATACACGAGTTCGTTGTATTTAGTTCACTAACACATCTCACAAATTTGTAGTACGTGTGGAATTTATTTCGATAACTGAGCTTGCGTAATATTATTTTATGCTCCCAGCCCACTCATTCTACATAATATTCTTAAATATTTTTATTGTTTAGAAAAAAGTAAGGAAAGTGGAAACCAACACATTTAAAATCTCCTACTGTTATTATTCTTTCTATTACTTGGGAACTGCTGTGACCCAGAACAAAATATATTGCTTTTCTATAACTCCACAGTGCCACGTCATTCCTGATATTTTATTTACTATTTCATTTTTTAATATAATATTCAGATTTCGTATATGATAGAAAATTAAATATCGTAAATTATATTCAACTATAATGTCTTTGTAGTATGTTTCCGAAAAATATGACATATATTTGAATAAATCGATATCTTCACATTTTTTGTATCATAATAAAATATATTTTAGCGAATACACAGATGTTTGTAATTTTTATTCCATTGAACAATATTTAATTGAAAAGGCGTTTGGTAATTCATTTCAAACATTGATATGTTTTTTAAGCATAAAAACAGTTTTTCTTATGTACTACGTGTTAGTTGTTAATTAAATAAAATAATTAATGTTTTATTTTGAATACAGTTATATTATAACATTATATTTAAACGACATCTTCTATTCTTTTCATAAATCATTGACATCATCATTGCACAATTATTTATAATAATAGTATAGAAATATCGTAATATTCTAATGATAGACAAAGTTTGATTAAATTATAATGTTATAATATTACAATGTATACAATAGATTTCTATAAGTTATAATTAATAACAATAATACTGTAGCCTCATCGATTGATCATATTTTGAAAAAAATAATACATTTTAGATGTAACCTAGAAATAATAATATTTAGAAATAATTATTATTTAAAAATATGTTAATATCGTATTATAAGACTTTAGAAAGATTTATTGCATACATCTTGAGCTGAGCGAAAAGCTAGTGGTTTTACAATAGTGTTTATTATTATTTTTTTGTTATCCTGTATACAAAATTTCTACCAGAAGGAGTGCTTCTATTTCAACATATAGTATCTTATCTTTTAAAAAATTGGATGAAGATGGCACTTTAGAGGGTACATTCTTCGATTTTTTCAATAGTTATTTAATTCCACTAGAAAAACCACCTACAAATTAAGAAAAACAGCACAAAACCGGATTTTAATTTCCATCATAGAAACGAATAAAAAATTATAATATTAATTCAACTCACAGGCCATAATAAATAATAACAATATAAAATATCCAGACTGACAAACCGTCTCCACTCAGAATCGTTTTTCTTATACAGTGATATTTTATCATTGACCCATATATCACCGACTTGTCACTTACTGTACAGCAGAGCGACATCCACTTACTATCTTTTTTTTCGGTTTGATCATATGCATTGTTTATTAATTCTTAATCTTGTACGTTTTTTGAATTTAATAACATATACTATTAAAAAAAAATACAATTTTTTTTGATAGAACGAATCAAAAGTTTGGATAATTATTCTAATGAAAACTTGAGTCTTTAGATAAGTGTAGAGAAATATATCAAATAGAATAGGATATCCAAGCAACTTGCAGACGACCCTGAAATTAGTTTAACTAGGGGTGTCGTTTTATTTCCAGCAATCGTTGATTCAACAAATTTAATATCGAAAATTCATGAGCTGAAAATAATAATATAATATATGTGAACTAAATATTCCAATATATGCTAAATTATGTAAAATAAACTTAAAAAATTAATTCAAAGTTATGTATATGATGGCTTGAAAGATACCAATAAGTAGTATACGTAAAACATTAAAAGTATGTATAAATAAACTTATATATATCATCATGAATAAATTTTTATTTTTTGATTGAACAAAGTAAACTTTTTATATTAAAATGTCACATTTATATTACGTTGTATTGTAGGTATCAATTTTCGAACATTTTCTAAATAATATGCAATAACCTAACATAATATAAAATAGTCATACTATTAGTTTATACATTAACTTATGTTTAAAATATGTTAAGCTAGTATATTTAAATGGTTACATATCGATAAAATGTGTACCTTTATAATTTTGAAATCTGATTGAATATTTATAAGAGAGAATGATATTCAAAAACATGAGTTCACTGCTCATATAAGAGCTAATAGTTGCGTTTTTGTGGTATTTTTTGAAAAAATAAGTGTTTCAACCAATTCCAATACCAAATACCATCATATTTTGTTTTACTCGGTATATTATAATCTTATAGAATCCCTGAATTGTAATAGATTCAGCCACACAATTAGAGTGTTAAATATATAAAACATTATACGCAGGCGCGTCCAGTTGAAGAAAACCTAAGGTTGAGCTCATAATAACATTGTGAAGACTTGACGAGAAGGATTGTTTTCAAAAAAAAAAAATGTAAAAAAAAAATAAAAAAACGATTCTTGTACGTTTTGACAGAAGTAGGCCATTGTACATACTTTGCGCGTACGTAGTTTAGGATGGATACCTGTATGGTGCATATACATGCCAAGAATTTGCGATGTATGCAAAGTAGAAATTTCCAGCTCCTCATCGGTCTCTGAACCTCTTCGACACTAATGGCATTTAAATTGCTTTAGTTGAAGTGCGCGGAACGTGCACAGCGTAATCCGAATTCTGTAAATCTAAAATCGATCATTATACGCGTACCTACGTATAACGTCATTATATGCGCGTGTAACGTGGACAAGTGGCAAGCCGTGAATTCCAGTTTTGACGATTAAAAAAAAAAAAAAAAAACCTAATCGAAAGGTTTTACAAAAAAATAGAATGTGTGGAAAAAAATAGAAATGATGTATTATTACTGTTTGTACAACGGGTAAAAAAAAAAAAA